GAAGCACAAGCTGGTAGTTGACATCCCGCCATTACAGTCATCCCACAAAAACATGGGGGACAAGTTCCATGACCCCCAAGGGATGCTTAAAACCTGAGAGGATTGCACTTTTTCCTGTACCTACATACCTGTGGTAACTTTTTTTGTTGTTTTGGGTTTTTTTTTTTTTTTTTTTTTCAGATAGGGTCTCAGTATGTAATTCAGGATGGCCTAGGGCTCACTTTGTAGCCCAGGCTGGTCTCGAACTTGCCATGATCCATCTGCCTCAGCTCCCCAAGTGCTGGGATTATAGGAATGCGCCACCACACCCAGCTCAATAACTTTGTTTTTTAAGAGCAGAGTATATTTATTGGGGAAAGAAAGCTTCTGTCTGAGAGAGACAGAAGGGGTCCTAAGTGGGTTGCTGGGGACCCTGCCTTTATACATTAACATAGTAAGACATTAAAAGCAATCAGTAATAAAACAGAACATTATAACAGTGTGCTATAATAAATATGTGTGTGGACTCACAAGTGATCATTGTGTTGTGCTCATGCTCATTGTGTGGAGGTACAATATGGGAAACAAACGGCACGGTGGGCATGATGCTGTGTTGGACCAAGTGTGCAGATCTGGAACACGAGTGCTGCACCTCAACCAGTGCCAAGACAGCTGCTAAGTAACTGAGGACAGTGCTTCACGTTCCAGTGGCAGGCCTTGAAATTTCTCATTCGACTGACAATAGTACACAGTTTGAAATTTATGAATGGTTTATTTCTAGAATTGTCAATTTAATATTTTCAAACAGTGATTAACTACAAGTAACTAAAATCTGAGGAAGTGAAATCAGATATAAGGGAGAATTAATGCACATTCATAGTTACATTTGTCTAAAGAAACTTGGAGAAGGAAAAACCAGGAAACCCATAGAAGTTACCCATTTCTTCATTAAATATAAGCAACACAAAAGTACTGGCCATACAAGAAAATGAATTGCATGAAAGAAAAAGCAAAGTAGAAAGAAAAACCTGTTTCTAAGCTTAATTTAGAGACAAAAGGAATTTTAAAAGTTAATATCCTTCAAATAGAGATTGATTAAAGCATTGAGTTTCAGTTAGGATAAATGCTGGAGATCTGATGTATGGTGTAACAATTATACTCAGCGATGTATTTTTTACTGGAAAGCTGTTGAAACAGGAGGTCTTAAGTGTTCTGACTACAAAAATACATCAGGTGATACATGTCAATTAGACCAATTTAATCATTCCAAAGTATACATCTATCAGGGCATCATATAAATTTTGTCAATTACATCCTAAAACTAGAAGGGAAATCATATACAGTACTTGGAGATTTAAAAAAATATTGCATTCCATGAGTAGGAGACTATAAAAAGATGTAATCAAAACTCCAAAATAGTTCATTTATTTAAAGAATGTCAAAATTTTCTAAACATGGTACAAAATTCAGAAGTTAGAATAGTGATAAATTTCCTACCTAAAAATGAAAAATGTTCTCATAGCAAGAATCACCATGTAAGTAAAACAGAGAGAACAAACTGAGGGAAAGTATTTGCAGCTCATGTCACAAGAGACTGATTGCTCTAAAATGTAAAATGTTCCCTCAATAAAATGAAGATCAACCACATAGAAGACAATGAGCAAAGAGTACGAGTAGCATACACATACAAATGACTCCCCTGTAGTATTGTCTTGAACCCAGGACCTTCACACACAGCTACATCCCCAGCCCTTTTTATTTTTCATTTTGAGACAGAGTCTATTAAGCTCCCCAAGCTGAGCTCAAACTTACAGAGCTCCTGCCTCAGCCTTCCAGAGTTCTGGGATTACAGTTGTTTGCTATAACACTTAACCTAGGTTTTTTATTTTTTGCTTTTTGTTTTTTATGGTTCATTAGTGATATCAGTCTATTATTTAACATGTTAGCCATCTTCCAGCTTTGTACATGTTGATATGTATATATGAATCCTTTGCTTTTTTAAATTTTTTTTGGAGACAGGGCCTCAATATATAATACAGGCTGACCTTGAGCTCACTATGGAGCTCAGGCTGGGCTTGAACTCACAGTGATCCTCCCAAGTGCTGGGATTATACGTGTATGCCACCATGCTGCACTTTACAAGTCTTAAATAGTTGACTAAAATGTTGAACAATAAGATAGGGATAGGTATTTTCAATACTCAGAAGAATTCTGTGTGAGAACGTACTGAGCTTTTCATGGTCTTGATTTTGATTAACTAGTTCTGAGTCTATAAAAAGAGACTTGATCAAATACTCAATTATACCTTTAGGTGGTGTGATCCAAAAAATGTTTTGTTTACATGTTTTAAAAATTTCTTACAGCGGGCCAGAGGTTTAGCTCAGTGACACAAGTCCCTGCCTGGCAAGTGCAATGTCATAAATTCAATCCCTGATCCCCCCAAAAAAATTCTTATAGTAAAAGATACATTATTCTCCCTCAAAATACTCCCCCTTGTTTTGAACTTACTCTATTCTCGCCACTGTGTGAGGCAGTTCTAGAGATTCACCTTCATAAAGTCGCAATATTCTGGCTGCCTCACTGTCCTGAATTAGTACACAGCTTTTACCTTTTATTGTCATTATGCTTTGGGGGAGAGCCAGAAGTCCCATGGTGCCAGATCCAGTGAATGAGATAGATGAGGATGCATCTTAATGTGTTTACAAGCCTGCTTCTCACTAAGGCAAAAGACAGCAGCATTGACCATATTTTTGATCATGCTATGTAAAGATATGAAAGCAGACTTCTAGAATTGCTCAGAAATTGGCAAAAATGATGGTTGTCTTCAAAGTAATGGAGAAGATTTTGAGGAGGATTAATGGCGGTATATCTTATTATAAGTTTTTAAAGTTTAAGCAAGCGTTCACTGTATATTTTGATTACACCAAACATGTCCTGAGTAGTAGGTAGTTCTCAACAAGACAATGTCCTATTTATCTTTTCATTCTTATAATCTGTAGATCTTTTGGATAGTCTGGTGGCCATACTCCACAAAAGCTGTGGCTGCAAAGGGGAAGCATTCCAAGAAGTCCCAGTAGTAAATGAAAAGTAGAATGTCCTAGATATGACTACCGACAGAGCCTCCCTCTCCCCTACTCTCCTTGTGGCATTGTCTCCTCTTCCCTTTCCTGCTTCCTACCCACAGTGGCAAAAGAATTATGACAAATGCAAATTCCTTTCAGCTCTTGAAAGCATGCCACTTACTGGCTGTGGAGCAGGACTTCATATGTGAAATCATGATAGAAACAATAGTGTGCTTATAAGCTGGCCATGGTGATTCCGCAATGTCACGTGATACTACAGATACTGCCTCTCGTGCATTTGCCATCCTGTTTGCTCAACTTAGCTGTTGCTGTCAGATCGTCAGCACATTGTTAATAGTATGTGCTGTTTTGTTTTGTTATTTCTTTTAATTTTTGGTACTGAGGATCAAACTTACTACCTCGCTCTTGCCAAGCAGGAGCGTACTCCTTTGAGCTAATAGTATATGCTATTAATATGAAGAGATTCCATTTTCTGTAAAGTAACATAGCTAACTACATCGTCTCTTAAGTTTCTGATAGCTAAAAAAATCTGTGGGGCTGGAGATTTAGCTCAGCGGCATAAGCGCCTGCCTTGCAAGCAGGCAGTCGTGAGTTCGATCCCCGGTACCAATAAAAATGAAAAAGACAAAAAAAATAAAATAAAATAAATAAAATTAAATTAAAAAATCTGTAATTTGAGATTCATACATATATTTCTCCCCTGTACAATCTAGGAATGATTTATTCCTTTATTACAATTCTTAGAAAAAGCAGGTTTGTAAAACTTTTTCCAGGCTGAGGAGTTAGCTCAGTGGCAGAAGCACCTGTCTGGCAAGCGTAAGGTCGAATTCGATCCCTAGTACTAAAAAAAAAAAAAAAATTTCCATTGGCAAAAATTATACATATTATTTATACATACTACAGTGTGATGTTTCAACTCAGTTACGTTGTGTAATGATCTTATCTGAGTAATTAACATACGGAATAATGTTGCTTTCTTACATGGTGATACACTTTTTAGAAATCTTTTGGGGAAAATGTCCTTGAATTTGCCTTGATTATAGAGGTTTCATTGGCTGTGTCTATCTAGAGTAGAATGATGAGTACAATTATTGTTGTAAAGAAGGGAAAGGGAATGTTATCAAAGCCCATGCACATGTGCTTGTAGGAAACAAATGCAGAAAGGTGGTAATAATAAAACATAGAGTTAATATTTATTGACCATTTTCCATATAGGAAGAACTATGTCATCTCATTTAATCTTTGCAGTAGCCCATTGGATAGATATTTGTCTCATTTTATATTGAAGAAACTGAAGTTTCTTAAGGAGCTTCCTTAAATGTTACATAGCTAGTTGCTGATAGAATAGGAATTTTAATTTATATAATCTGATTCTGACACTCATAATTTTAACCATTATGCTAACTTCAGGTAAAAATATCCATTGAATTTAACTAGAGGCCTTCAAAAGAATGGATGCAATTTTTAGAAAACTTTATATTAAAAAATAACAAATTGCAGGACTAAAAGAATTATATATATACACATTCATCAGTTAATGTTTTGCTTAATTTACTTTCTCTATATAAAATCTCTTTTTTAAATAAATAAAAGCATCATGACACTTGGAAGAATAATCTCCTAAGAGCATTGTAATACACAGAATGATAAGTGATTAATGAAAAGTGACTGTCCTTCAGATTGTTTTAGATGTAACAGATCATTAGACCATTAAAATTACATTATGAAGCTGGGCATGGTGATACATGCCTGTAATCCCAGCACTTGGGAGGCTGAGGCAGGAGTCTCGCCATGGGTTGGAGACCAGCCTCAGTTACAAAGTGAGATCGAGGCCAGCCTGAACTGCATAGCAAAACCCTGTTTCAAAAAGACCCAAAAAAATTGCATCATGAACACAAAGCAAAACCTTAACCAAAAATTGATTTTTTTCCTTCTCAGAAATCATATTCCATGCCCATTAGCATTGAATTTCAGCGGAGATACGCAACAATTGTTCTAGAGCTTGAACAGCTGAACAAGGACCTAAACAAAGTTTTGCATAAAGTTCAACAGTACTGTTACGAGGTAGGTGATTTGTATGAATCTCTCTACCCCAGGTGGGTTATTTTTTTGTTTGTTTGTTTTGTTTTTGGAGATAGCCTGGCTATGTAGCTCAGGTTGGTCTTTGAATTCATAAAGTAGCCCACAGTGGCCTCAAGCTAGCAACAGCTCTCTTGCTGCCGGAGTGCTGGGGTTATAGGCATGCACTACTATGCTGCTTTGGGGAGGTAGAGTTGTTTCTTGTATGTTTAAAAAAAAATTTTTTTTAAAGCAAAACAAAAAGATAGAAATGATACATAATTTTTTTTTAACATAGGAAATTAACTATGCTACATACTTGTTATCTGAGAAATAGTCGTTAAGGTTATAAGATTTAGGCATAAAAATGTTCAATTAATGAAAGCACAGACTTCTTTTGAATGATTAACAGTTACATATATTTATACCTATATACATATCTTTTCCCTTTTTCCTTCTCTCCTTTTCCCTATTCAGTTCTTTCCTTTTGAGCACTTTCTTTCCCTTTTATTATCACAATATCTATTGTACATTTTGGATTTTATTACTCTTCCAGTTGTGTTGTAGGGAGACAATATGATATTTACAAATATGAGTTTGATTTATTTCACTTATGAGTGTGGTCTCAAGTTGCCACTAACTATAAAAGCCTCAAGATTATCCTTCTTTATCACTGAGTAATATTCCATTATATAAAAATACCACATCTTTTTTATCCATTCCTTGCTTGTTGGGCATTTGAGTTGGTTCCAAGATTTAGCTATTACAAACTGTGTGCTATAAACATGTGTGCAGATGGATCGCTGTAGAATGGCATAACAGAAGCTAGCTATATAACTACCTTAACTGTCTTTTTCCCTTTACCCATTCTTCCTTGCCCCCATTACAGTTTGTCCCTTCCCTTGCACAGTTTCTTCCCATGTCACAGTATCTATCATATACTTTTTATTTTAAAGAGAAAAAAGAACAGAAAGATGAACATGCAAACAAACCTCAAAAACAACAACAAAGCAAAATGACAGCAACAACAACAAACAAAATAGCTATATAGGTTTTCAAAACAAGATGATAAAAATGGTTGTTATATTGCATGTTTTTATCTTCAAAATAGTTGCTCAGGTTACCAGAAACAGGAATGAAACAAAACAGCAAAAGGAAATAACACATTGGATTTCAAAAACAAGGCAGAAGGAAAGCCCTCACAGTTGCCACAGTGTACATTGCCATCTTCCAAATAAATGCCCAGACCACCAGCCCCACGCCTGCAATCAGTCAAACCACTGCTATCTTACCTTGAGTCCTCCAGATCAGCTGATTGCTTAGGGAGTGCATTCCTGGCTTCCCAGCCAATGCACCAGCTGGTTCACGGGAGGGCATGCTTCATCCTCTTGCTAAGTAGTCTCCTCCCCTAGTTTTTTCTTTTGAGACAGAGTCTGCGGCTGTGTAATTCAGGCTGACCTTGAACTCACTGTGTAGACCAGGCTGAGCTCAAACTCAATGCTCCTGCCTCAGTCACTCAAATGCTGGGGCTACAAGAGTACATCACCGTGCCCAGCCAGCCACTGCCTTTTTTATTTGAAACTTTTAATACTCTGCATTTTAAAAATCCAAACTAATCTAGTATCTTTATAAGATCCTTTTGCATAATTCCAGATTCTCCTACCTTATCCATAATAAGCTATCAATTTGTAATTATCAAACTAAATTTATGTAGCTCTCCAAAGATAAGACACTTCTAAAAATCTAAAAGGATAATTACTCATAATTTTACTACTCCAGTGACAGTATTTTGCTGTGGTTTCTTTTTAATAATCTGTGCTTTTTCTCAGTTATGATCATACTATATATGTAATTTTATTTCTTCCTTAAACTTTACATTTTACCTATGAATTCTTAAATTTCAGATACATAGATCACAATGATTTGTGATTTGCCATTTACATGTGATTATATTACTTCTTTCTTTGAATTTTTGAGCAGGTAGGTCTTACAGTGTAGTACAGGTTGCCCTTGAACTTGATGTACAACCAAGGCTGGCCTCAAATCACAGTTCTCCTGTCTCTGCTGCAGACTACATGTGATCATGTTGATCAGTGATTCAACAGATTTTACCTAAATTCTGGGTGTATTTTTTTTCAAAGGATTTGGCAATAATTTTTTTTTTTCTATTTCCAGTCTTTTAAAGTAGGCACACAAGGCCAGGAGATAGCTCAGTGGCATAGCACCTGCTTAGCAAGCACAAGGACCTGAGTTCAATTTCCAGTACAAAAAAAAGATAGATTTGCTTACAATAAAATTAATGTTGTATAAGAAGGCACAAAGATGGAACACAAACATAAGATTAAATCCAGCGGTCCAGAGTAATAAAGGGTAGCAGATATTGAATAATAGGTGCCTTCATGAGAAAAATGACCACCCCTGGTGATGGCCTGGGGCCCTCACACTGGAAAGCAACAGCAGCATAGTGTACCAGTAGCAGAATTTCTAATCGTACTTTGGGTTGTTTGTTTGTATGTTTATTTGTTTTGTTTTTGTTTGGTTGGTTTTTTGGTACTGTACCTTGATTTTATTTATTCTTTAAGAACAGTTTATTAACTGATCTTTATGGACAATCTGCATCTATCTAATTACAACAATTGTATACAGTATTTCTCTTGGGCAAACACTTTTGTGTAATAATTTTAATATCAGTGTTACTCATTCTTTGAAATATAAAGAATTTTAACAATTGAGATTACTCATTTTGAAATACTACATATATGACTAATATATTGATTATCTATACTATTTATATGTAGTATCCAAAGAATATGTATTGCCAATTCTAATGTCTGCTAAAGTTCTTTCAGTAGATGTTACTCTTCCATGCTTATTAATTGATTTCATAGATCAGCATTCTTTCAAGTTACTAATCAGGAATGCTGAACAAATAAGTCATGCAGTCACCTGAGCACCATGGTAACTCTTTTTTTTTTTGTCATCGGTACCGGGGATCGAACTCACGACTGCCTGCTTGCAAGGCAGGCACTTATGCTGCTGAGCTAAATCCTCAGCCCCAACCATGGTAACTCTTAAAGTTAGCTCTCACAGGCTCAGATACAAATCCCCCCCATGTCAGCAATGTCAGGTCCAATTCTTCATCAGAAAGTGCTGGTGGGGGTTGTCAGATGCTTTCTAGTGTGGATCCCAGTCCAGTGCGTAGGAAATGAGACAGCAGCTGAGACAGAAGGAAAACCTTTAGAGATTTTGCTGAGAAGATGCCCCACTCTTCATGCCGCTCGTTTTTCTCGTGCTGAGAGTAGCTGTGTGCTTCAGGTGTTTAAAGAGAAATTCCTTGGTATATTTTCTGGCCAACCTGACCAGTCTTATATCCAATCTGAGCTTCTTCAAGATGCTTTCAGCTTCTTTCTTTCTCTCCATATAATCCTCGTCAAGCTGACATCTGTTTTTTCCTTCAGTGCTATGTATCTGTTTCAGAAGCTGTTAGTACCTTGTGTCCGTGGGCAAGGAGGGCTGTCTGAGAACTCTCAGAGCTGCTCTGTCCAGATTCATGCTGGGCACCTAGAAGTATTTTTTCCATGTCACCATCATAAATAGAAACTGAGGCTGGAACATTATCCATTCCCATTATTTCTAAGTGCATTTCTACCCAGAAGCACTGCAAGTTCCCCTTCTGCAGTGTGGCATCCCCGCTCTGTGACAAGGCACCAGAGCTCACTCAGCTGTGGGGTCTATGTCCAGCTGCAGCAGCACCTCAGTGCCCACACAGGAACAGGTGCACCATGAGCCTGCAGATCTAATAAATGAGGGTTTGGTACTACAGAGTAAGAAGTAACTGAGATGAGTTTAGAATGCTCCTGCCTTTGCATTTGAGGTTATGTTTACAGTAAAGCTACCTCTATTTGTGATATAAGAATCTTAAATAATTGGCATTATAGTCTAATAACCTCTTAAGTAAAAGCCGGATGTGGTGGCACATACCTGTAATCCTAGCCTTTCGGAGGCTGAGGCAGAAGGATCATCGCAAGTTCCGAGATCAGCCTGGGCTACACAGTGAGCTCAAGCCCAGCTTGAATTGCATAGCGAGACCATGTCTCAGAAAGACAAAAAAGTAAACCTCGTAAGTGCGTCCCCAGATCTGCTATCAGTACTGTTATCTGCCCACTTGATGGAACTGAGTGAATGTGCAGTGGTCATCTGTGACCGAACTCTTAGCGTAGTTCACTCATTCCTTTATAGTTTATTTTTACTTTCCTCATAGTTGCCCCTCACCTACATAACATCCTGCACCTTCTAATAGTGAAGCACAAAGAGGAACTCAGCATCACATTTTTTGGTAGTCTTCAAAAATGCATAAATTCAGTCTAAGCATGAGGAAAAACAACCCAATGAGGGATGTTGTACCAAATGATTGGCCATTATACTTCAGTTCAAAATTAATGAATCTTAGTGAAGAGTTACAAAGAGTTCTTTGTTCTTACTGTTCTTTTTAGACATTTGAAGTTACATCAATTAAGTTGTTAAAAATATAACATACATCTGAAGAAAACAGAAGAGAGAATATCGTTTTAATTATAAATGCTAGCTTTGTAAAAATTTGAATCTGAACCAGAACACAGACCCTTGGAAGTGATAACAGCCTAATTAACTACTTTTCTGTGCCCTGCCCCACGCTCAGCTTGCTCCGGATCAGGGGCTGCAGCCAGCAGATCAGCCCACGGACTTGCGCCGGCGCTGTGAGGAGGAGGCACAGGAAATCGTCCGGCATGCCAACACTTCCACAGGACAGCCCTGTGTTGAAAATGGAAACCTCACAGACTTAATCTCTAGGCTTACGGCTATCTTACTGCAAATTAAGGTAAATGACAAGAAAAGGTTTCTTAATTTTAATACAAAGCAAACCGTGCTGACTTGTTGTTAAGGGAATCATAATTCATACATTATATCAAGTATTTTGTCTGTATTTGAGCTGTGTGATTCAGTTACAGTCTGAAATGTTTTTCCCTTTAGTGTCTAGCAGAGGGAGGAGACCTGAATTCGTTTGAGTTTAAATCACTTACAGATTCATTAAATGATATCAAGAGTACGATAGATGCTTCTAATATCAGGTAATTCACTATGTATACTCTAATCATTTTTATATTAAGTTCATACTGATTTTCAGTAGAAGTTTTAAGAACTTTACATATTTGTGAAATATTCATTCATATCATTTTATCCTTTAAATATATTTTAAAAGTGCTTTTCAGTCATACCTTTCCGCTGACAGAATAAAACTTTCACGTGGACCTTCTGTGTAAAGGAATCGGGAGACACAGAATGCTTAGTTGCTTAGTGTGGGGTTTCCTTAGAAGCAAAGCCTCCCCAGGCAAGGAGGCTCATTCTGTCTTTCTAGGACCCGTGGTTCCTTTGCTCTTTTGAAGAAGAATTATACTAACGCATGAGAGAAACTATTCCTTTCTTGACGTTACTATGTTATTATTTTCCAAGTGAAATCAGCTCTTTTAAAAAAAATTGTGCTTTATTTTGTGAAATAAAATAATTAACATGATTCTCCTTTTTTTAGTTGCTTTCAGAATAATGTAGAAATCCACGTTGCACACATTCAGAGTGGCCTGAGCCAGATGGGAAACTTACATGCTTTCGCAGCCAATAACACCAACAGAGACTGAGTACACCACTGAGCTGTTCCAGCTGTGTAGGACACTGGTTTCAAGTTTTTCCTTTGTGTAGGCTATCAACACCAAATAACCCAACTGCTGGAAAACAAAGGAAATTTAAATCTCCGAATAAGGCATTTTAATATACTGTACTGCTTCTTAAACCAGCACTGCTGACCAGCATATATTTATTTTTCTTCTGTTATTCATATGCAGTAGGATTGCCAGTGTAACGTATGTTTATGAGCAAGTATTTTTAAACTGAAAATGTCTTAAGTATATAATTTCATGGGAAAATATGTTCACCATTTTTTTAATGTGCATGAATTCCACCAACACATGGAGACAACTACTGCAACAGAGAATATGAAAAAACATGGCCTTTTATGCATAGTGGTGAATGTGGAAATTCTACCTGGGAAAGGACCGCTCTGCTGGAGCCAGCCGTCACCACTGCAGTCTGTGGGAGATGAGACAGGTAGTGCAGGGAGCTCTAGTCTAAGGAAGCCACTGGAGTACGGAGAGTATGTGATGTATACTTGCAGCGTGACATGGTTCTGTAAATCGTTTTATAATATTTTAATTTATCATAATTTATAAGGAAAGCATTCATTGTTGAAAGAAAATGAAGGAGCAGGAAAAAACTGTTACTGCACAATGCTGAACTTCTGCAGGGGGATTTGGCATGTCTCTCCCGTCAGTTCAGGGCAAAAAGTGCTATTGTTATGAGATTTATTTTAAAAAAAGACTGATAACACACTATTTTCATATTTTTTGTTTATTTGCACAACTTAAACCAGACAACTCATTAAAATCCAACAGTATACAATTTATAAAATAAAAAGGTTTTATAAGGAAAAATAACCAGAGTTGTGAATTGCAGAAAAAGATTTGTTTTTTGGTTGTTTTGGGGGTTTTTGTTTCATTTTGTTTTTTAAAGAAAACTTGCCTAAAATGTTAATCTTGTAAAAAATATGTATTTTGAATTTTCTTTGTTTTAATAGAGAATATTATAAAGTCAAAATATAATAAATTGTTTTCAAATTTGGAGTTTTAAAATATAGCTATAGACGTGGTTTTGATTCTTTTAGATGTCTCATAAAATGAGACTTTTTATATGTTAATGTATAATAAAACTGAAGTAAGATTATTTTCCATTTGAAATTTTTGTATAGTTTAAAAATGCTTCTGTATTCTTTGTTGGTATTATGCCACTGCAAATCTGTAGTGCAGAGTTTATATTTAGCTAAACTTTTATGTTAATAAGAAATGCATAAATCTTTTATTAATATTTGTAATTCTAAATAAATTGGTCTATGAAATTTAACATTGTATACATTTTTATTCATAGAAACTTAATTTTTTTTTTCTTTTTTTTCTTTTTTTTTTTTTCTTGGTACCAGAGTTTGAACTCAACCTCATGCTTGCAAGGCAGGCACTTAAGCCACCGAGCTAAATACCTGGCCCCATTTTTATTTAATTACACAAGTATAGGTATTCCTTTTATTGAAAAAGTTTTGCTGGGCATGGTGGCACACATCTGTAATCCCAGCACTCGGGAGGCTGAGACTGAAGGATCACTGGGAGTTTGAGCCAGCCTGAACTGCTTAGTAAAACCCTGCCTCAAAAATTAAAAAAAGCTGGGCTTAGTAGCACACAATTGTAATTCCAGCACTCAGGAGATTGAGGCAGGAGGATTGTCGTGAGTTCAAGATCAGTCTGGTCTTGAGCAAAATGATCTCAAGGCCAACCCGAACTGGATAGTGAGACCCTGACTCAAAAAGACCAAAAAAAAAAAAAAAAGGGCGGGGGGGGGGGATGAGTGAGGTGATTAGAGGAACAGGAAATATAAAACAATTTTGAAGAACTGTAATTCTTACCTAGTTTGTAAGGGAAACAATACAGGTTAGTTACCAAGTCCTAAGCTCTCCCTTTGAGATGGGTCTTGCCTTGTTGTTCAGGCAGGAACCAGGTAGGTAGGTTTGGGCTCCTGTAATCTTCCTGTCTCCACCTCCCAAGTAGCTGGGACCACAGATGTGCCCCACCTTATCCAGCTCTGCTGTCACTTTGAAGCACTTTCCTGTCTGGTGGTGTTTAGGGAGGAGTCTGTATCACTGAGGAAATCACTGTACAAACGCTTACCAGATAAATGGCCTAGTAGACTGATTAATTTAGTATATTTTTCCTATAATTGGGTTACCATTTTTTTACATTTTTCTTTCCTATTTCCCAAAGGTCACTCTTCATAATACTTGGTTTTATATACAATCAAACACTGTGTGTCTTTTGACACTGTTAGTGTATTGAGAGCAATGTTTTGTTTTTTGTGAGACAGGTTTGTACCATGCAGTTCAGGCTGCTTGAACTCAAAGCCACAGTCCTACCTCAGCCTTCTGAGCATTTGGATTACAGGTGTGGAGCACCACACCTGACCACAGAAGAGATTGTACAGAAAAGCATGCTTCAGTGCTGTTTCTATTAAGAAAGGAAAAAATCCAAAGCCATCATCTTAAGTTGGCCGTGCAGTGACCTGAGCACTGCTGTCACTGCTTTACCTGTGTTTGGAACTGGAGGAAGTACCCTACAAGGTTGAGCATATGAGTAAGCACATGTTCATTTTTACTTGAGCAGGTGTTGTTCTGAATCACTGGGCTGGTTCCATTAGTCACACTCACCTGGTGCCACTGAGAATCTCCGAACAGTTGTGCCTGCGTATAGTTTTCTGTAGGAGCCATTTCTCTCTGTCTCACTGCATCGTTAGCTCGAAATACTACGAGCATCTCCCAGATTGCCTCCCACATCTGCACATCCTCTTCATTGCAAGCCAGCACCAGGTTATTAAACTGCAGAAGAGCATTCTCTGCCCTGTCTGTAAATACCTGTGTCTCTAAGGGCTGGGGTGAGGCTCAGTAGTAGAGCACTTGCCTTGCATCATAACACCCTGGGTTCAATCCCTGGGAACACAAAAAATAAGTAGGGAAGCCTTTGCCAGGGATTTAGCTCAGCAGCATAGGAGCCTGCCTGGCAAGCCCGAAGTCACAAGTTTGATCCCAGGTACCAAAAAACGTATGTGTCTCTAAAGGCCTGAGATTCCAGTACAGGTCCAGAACCTCAACGAGCCCTGCGAAGCCACCTGTGGCCAGCAGCCTGGCTGCCCCCACGTACCTCTCAGTCCCTCCTCTCCCCAGTCCTCTGCTCAAACCAACTTGCTCCCCAGTGACGTCTCCTTCACCGGTGTGTCATAGACATTTACGGCTTTACATTTCTTGGAGCAATCCTTTGTTTTCCTGAGGAGAGGAGCTGCCTCTGGCTTTGTGGTCATTTGTTTCGTTTTTTGTAGCATTGAGGATTGAACCCAAACCCAGGACCTTCATCTTGAGTTACATGCCCAGCCCAATTTTATTTCTTACTATTTTTATTTTTTCATTGAATCCCAGATAAGGCTTAAACTTAGCATCCTCCTTAGCTTCCCAGGGAGTTTCAGTGACCGGCGGGTGCCACCATGGGGCCAGCACTGTGCCTGTTGTACTCATTCTATTCCAGGTCTTACGAAGTACCAGTTCAGATGCACCAAGTAAGCATTTGCATGATGAATAAAGAAGTGGCAGTGTGAATAGAACTTGAAGAAATATCTTCATGAGAACAGCAGTTTGGTCTTCCATGACTAAAAGAGACAATCTGTACATGTACCCTCAAAAACCACTCGTACATAAAAATTCTGATTTAGGTGCAGCTTTTAAACCTATCATATTAGTATTAACAAGCCAGTCCCTTCCAGAACAGCATTGTATGGCGGTGGTGACTGGGCCAGAGTCCTGGCCTTCTATGTATACATACCACGTGACAGCTGGAGGAATCTCTAGATGTTTTACGTAAGAGGTGGGAGCAGGCTCTGCTGTGGCACCCTGTGGTGCTACCACAGTGAAATTCCCAAAGGCCAGAGCTCTTGCTCTGAGCAGTGTCCTCACCCAGGGATACCCTCTGGCCACCTTGTAGGGCCACCCTGGGCAGAAACTGGAAGTCCATCCTTGAGAGATGACACAGGCCAGTAAGGGTAGGCTCGCAGCTGCTGTGGGCAGCATGCTGTCCCCACGAAGTTTGCTCCCTTTTCCCCAGGGCCACCTCCATTCTGTCCCTGAAGCCTTCTCTCAAGCCAGCAGCCCCAGCTGAGCTCCTCGACAAGGGGAAAAGCACATTGCACTCAAGAAAGGACCTGAGCTTTGTGCAGCCCAGGTGTGCCATTGAGCTGTCTCTGTAGCTCTTCCTGCTGGACCTAGCTGGGCTGGCAACCGCTGATGCTGGTGTAGACAGCCTTTTCTGAGGGACTGCTGGGACGCTGTCCCTTTGTGTACTCAGAGCTTATAACCACTAACAATTTAATGCCCCTTTTGGCTATGTGGAATGGTTTGGATCTAGATGTTCCCCCAAAGCCTCCTGTGCTCAGAGGTGAGGCTTTTATAAAATGATTGGATTATAGGGTACTATAGCTGACTGGCTGCTAGGAGGTGAGGTTCAGTGGGAACCGGAGGGTCAGCGGAACATCACTGCCCTCCCTGGCTCCTTTCACTCTGCTTCCTGACCACTGTGAGGCGAGCAGCCCTCCTCTGCCAGCCCTTGCTGCCATGCGCTTCTGCCTGGAGCCAGCCAAGCGTGAGGAATCTAAAACATGCTTCCAAGTAAACCTCTCCTGCTTTCAGCTATGGACATCAGATAGTGTGTCCTAGTGCCACAAAGGTGACTAAGATACCATGGGAGCAACACCCTTTTGACAGTTGGTGGACTCCTTTTTAAGAAATCACTACTGAGCAGTGTTTGGGATCACAGAATAGTAACAGTCTAGAATCTGAATAGTCAAGGTTTATCCTATCCCTTTGGTAGGAAGCATACAGTTCCAGCTCCAGGAGGTTTCTCTGGTTAAAGAACTGCTCATTTTAACCATAGGCTTGGACAGAAGAATCATCTTCTATGATACTTCAAGTCAGAAGCTAGGAAAACATTAGAGGCCAGCACTTCTCTAAAGACAGTAGATTTCATGCCTGATGGAACCACCTCAACTATCAGACCTTCCCATGGGAAAAGGTATCACTCTGATTTAAGGATGTGGGAATTAGCAGTTAAAACCAACAGTATTCTCAAGACATCTGTGCAGTGTACAGCCTCCAGGGCTCCACTGCTCTTACAAGTTTGGGTAAAGGCTGTTCAAGTAAGGCCACGGCCATGAATATACGAAGTGTCCATCAACACCACACATACAGTTGGGAATTCCAGAGCTGCTGGAAGCCCCTTACTCTGGTTGCCACAGTCCAGGGCAGCCTGAAACACCACCACGGGGAAGGCATAAACACAGATATTTTATCTAAAGAAGAAAGACAGTGGAGGGGCTAGGGATTTAGCTCAGTGGCTTAAGCACCTGCCTGGCAAGCATGAGGTCATGAGTTCAATTCCTGATACCAAAAAAAAAGACAGTGGAAAATAACCAAGATTTCTCCGGCTTTGATGAGGCTAAGAAAGTGGTTCTCACCAAGCAGAGATGAGGAGTTTCAGTAGAGAAAGAAGCCTCCATGGCCTACCACAACTGAACTCGGAGTTGCCTCCTAGACACCCCCCAGTGCCTCCACACTGTAGCCTTGTACTCCAGCACTGGGGCTTCAGGGAAAGAAGAGAAGAAAACATATCTAGGAAAACAGGAGCCTAAAGATGCCTTTGGGCAGAAACTGGAAATCCAAATACTTCTCCATTATCTAACCAAAGAAGAAAACTTGAGAAATTTGAAAAGACAGAGAGGAAATTGAATACCCGGTGATAGATGAACTCTCAGTCAATGGATCCTCCACTCCCAATCCTTTGGACAAGCTCCTCCTGCCACTGCTGGAGCTGCCAAAAATATAGTCACTGTCATTGGAGGCAAATGTCCAAGGGCATGTTGACATCTGCTCCAGTCAGGCATATCCAGAAAGTGTCCCAGGAGACGTTGTAACACTTCAGAGAAGAATGCTACTGTAAATTTGCAAGTAGAGATAATTAACAATTTCATAGGCAACTAAATGAAATGAACTCCTTGCTGGAAAGATATGCAGTGAAAGGCAATGAGCACTGTAAGAAAAAACAAAAAGACTAGGGCCCTACTTTTGACATTGCAATGAATACCTGAATGTTCTACACCTGGAATGTTTCTAGCAACTGAGAACTAACTAGAATCAGAATTGTGTTCCTGGCCTCTGGGGAAGCAGGGTTCAGGTTACAGGTAATGACACTTTGTATCAAATATTTTGTTAAAATATTTATATTTTGCATTAAAAACTGTACAATAGATCATATCCCTAATAAGAGTCAATGGGATCTTTTTCTGCTAAAAGCTTTAGTTGTACACTACCCTCTTTCATAAAGTTGTACCCTTTATGTATAAGTACAGCTTTAGTTGAACGTAAAAATGGGTTATGCGCTGTGCATGCCTGCAGTCCCAGCACTAGGAGGCTCAGGGGGAAGCACAAATTTGAGTCCAGCCTGGGCTACACAGTGAGTATAAGGCTAGTTCTCCTACCTCAGCCTCCTGAGTGCTGGGGTTACAGGCATGCACTACCATCCCAGCATAATGGTTTGTAAAACTATATAAGAGCTATGTATTTCTTGATTGTTTCATGAATTAATAAGGTCAAATTATATTATGAAGTTTTAATTACCAATTCTCAACTTAAAATCAGTAAAAATTTCACACTGTATACTAAATATTGCCATTGTTTTCTCCCAAGTGGAAAGTGTGGAATATTTTGTTCTGTGGCTTATAATGTAAACTTTCTCTATTTCTTTGTGTATTATGAGTAATATTTTTATATCACTGGCCTTCCCATAAATTATTTGTGAAAATTCATTATGAGTTTTTACCTCACTGGCAGTAGTTAAACATACTACTTATGCTGAGATCTATACTTTTCATCAGGACTCATAGACTTATGAGATCAGGAGCCTACTTGCTTAAGTCCTTGGTGTCTGTTGCCCAAAGGTTTAGACTGTGTATCTTATATATTTTAGCTTCTGGGACAAAAAATATTTACCAGAATTGAAAAATAAAAAACGTAGTTCAGCTAAGTGTGATGACATATGCCTATATTCCCTGCACTCTGGAGACGGAGGCAGGAGAATCCCAAATTTCAGCCCAGTATGGGCAACTCAGAGAGAACCTGTCTAAAAACCTGAAAAGTGGGCCAGGAGTTTAGCTCAGCGGTGTTAAGTACCTGACTGGCAGGCTTGAAGTCATAGTTCAATCCCCAGTTTAAAAAAAAAAAAAAAAAAAGATATTCAAATAAAAATTTGAAAAGAGCTGGGATTGTAGATCAGTGTAAAAGCCCCTGGGTTCAATCCCCAGTACTACAAAAAGAAAAAAAAAAGTTTAGTTTAGGGGCTGGGGATTTAGCTCAGCAGCATAAGCACCTGCCTTGCAAGCAGGCGGTCGTGAGTTCGATCCCCGGTACCGATAAAAATGAAAAAAAAAAAAAAAAAAAAAAAAAAGAAAAAGTTTAGTTTAGCATACTAACTTTATAGTTTTCCAAAGTGGTATAAAACTTTAAGAATATGCCAGGCGGGGCTGGGGGTTTAGCTCAGCGGCATAAGCGCCTGCCTTGAAAGCAGGCAGTCGTGAGTTCGATCCCCGGTACCGATAAAAAGGAAAAGGACAAAAAAAAAAAAAAAAAAAAAAAAAAGAATATGCCAGGCACGGTGGCACACATACTAGTAACCCCTGCACTCCAGAGACTGATGCAGAAGGATCGTCATAAGTTTGAGGCCAGCCTGGGCTAAATAGTAAGTTCAGGACCATCCCAGACTATAAAGTATGATCCTGGCTCAAAAAAATTTTTAAGAATATATTTAATAAGCTTGAACATATTAATAATCACTTCCAAAATAAAAAAGGATGTTACTCCTCTTGTTTTGAAGTCCCATCAAGCTTTTGTTCTTCTGTCTCCATCGGTTTTAACGTGTTGTATCTTATTGAATTTTATTATATATGATAATATAAACAAAAACTTTTATAGACAAAGAGATTATACAGAAACCATTGTTCATTTTCTGTTAGTTGATTCTAAATACCCTGTAATACTGTCATTCTCTTGAATGGTTTTACATTGTCTTGATATGTTTGATACTACAGTATACGAAGTTATACCCAAAGATTTTAAGGAAAGAGACCCCATGGTAACTACTATTATGTCGAGATTATTTTGTGGTAAAACACTATTTTGCTTAAATGGCTATGTTTTGACCTGCGCTGTTTTGTTGTTATGCCTTCTTTTTATCTCAATCTCCGTTTTATTATCTACTTTTTCATTTTTATCCTTTTAAGGGAAAAATAATTTAAAAATAGCAGGATACATTGTAGTAACCCACTTTGATTTCCTATTAACTTGATTTGAAACTCTGTATTGCTCTCACCATCTTGTTTTGACTGATTTTCCTCTATTCTGTTTTGCTTGATAGTACCAAGTTTGAAAGTATAGGCAACAACTATGAAGACAATAAGATCCATTGTGACGCCCATTCTGGTTGACTATTATCTTCTTTTGAAGTCCTCTAATGTCTCCAATGTTTTGGTTTTATTGGTCTTATTCTTTACTGTTTTGTTCAATTTTATTATAACTGATGATTTAGGCAATTGTTTTTAAGATAACAAGAGGCATTATGGTAACCATTGTTGATCACCTTGTATTTTGTTTTTACATTATGTATTTTGTACATCCTTTTGATTTGACTGACTCTGTCCTGGTATGTCACATTTGGTTTTACTTTCTTCAAAAAAGAGTAATAAGAACTGTGGGAGTAATAAACCCAAAATGTGTAATTGTCATTGTACAAAATAAAGGAAAAGAAAGTTCTCTAAAAGATATAACTGCATATATATATAAGTGTAAAAAATAGATAACCATATTACTGAGTTTTGTTGGATCATTGAACAAAACTGTTTGCATTCTCACTGTTTGAAAGTCCCCTCTCTATGCTTTAATTTTGTAACTTCAACAACTGTTTCTAAGATGACAATATGTAATTAACTAGTGATTTCCTACTGTTTATTTTTTCTGAAATTCTGTATAACTTGTTCCCTTTTTGGTTTTTTTTTCTCCTTAAATAAAATTTTTTTAAAAAAAGGATATTACTAGAAGCTGGATGTGGTGGTGAATGGCTATAATCTCAGCACTCAGACTGAAGCAGGAGGATCACTGCAAGTTTAAGGCCAGCCTGGGATACCTAGAGATCCAGTGTCAAAAAGAACAACTTCTCCCAGAATGACTTAAAGAATACATTTGAAGCTCATAGAAGTGTTATATAATCTTTTTGCAGCACATTATGAAATACAAATTAAGACTTGGAACAAGTTTCTCTATATGTCAAACAGGTTTGAGGATGTAATGTGCTGTATTTAGGTCTATTAATCTTTTTTTACTGCACATAATCTGTTTTCAAATAGGTTGGATAGGGGCTGGAACTTAACTCAGTGGCATAAGCACCTGCCTGGGAAGTGTAAGGTTGAGTTCAATCCCTGGTACCAAAAAATAAAATTTAAAATAGATGGGATAAACACAATTTTAGTATCCATATGTATATAAACAAAACACTTCTGTCATGGATTTAAAAGCTAAGTAAACTTTTGTATTGAAAGTGAGAGCAGTCTCTGACACAGGTGTGAGGATCAAATACGCAATGCTCATCTGGCAATGCTCATCTGCCCTACTGGGGACCAAGCAGGGCCTTGCACACAGCCCACACAGCTCCTCGAGCTCCACACTTCTCATGTGGAGACTTCTTGTGCCCACATTAATTACACACGACATGGTCACAGAGAGACACGCCACACCAAGAGCTGTCCAAAGGGCAGGGTTCACTTAAACAGAAATTACATGGAGACATTAATGGAAAACATTTAATAATTCATTTGTGAAGCAAAGGAAGTACAAACCAAGTGCTAAGGGTGATGCTAACTGATCAGTTTACAGACACAAAACTCAGACTGCTGAAAGGGTGGGTTAATCCTAAAGAAATGAGGGACACCGCACACACAGGGAACCTAAGATTCAAACAGCTGTCCTGTGGATTAAAGATGACATCAGCTTTCCAGACAGTCTGATGATTTAATGGCAATCAGATCTAGGCTGCTGCAGATTCCCAAAGGGAAACTTTGTTAAAGTGATAGTTAGGGGGACAGGGGTTTAGCTCAGTGGCAAAAGGGCCCGACTGGCAAGTACAAAGTCATGAGTTGAATCCCTGGTTGTCCCCCACCACAAAAGTGATAGCTAGGAGCAAGGGAGCTCTTCAAATAATCTGAAATGTGTCACTGGTGACTAAGCACAAAGGCCACAGGCCAAATGAAAAAAACTTGAGGGCCTGGGGACATGCTGGTCCAAGGACAGAGAATTTCAGTTAGGAGAAAATATTCAAGAGATCAGTTGTAAGGGGCTAGGGATTTAGCTCCGCAGCTCAAGCACTTCCCTGGCAAGTGTGAGGTTGTGAGTTCAATCCTTGGTAGCCCCCAAAAAGGGAGATCTATTGTACATCATGACTACAGTTAATATATTACATACTTGAAAGAGGCTAAGATAGTAGACTTTAGGGTTTCATCACAAATCAGTAAGTCTGTGAAATCCTGCTTATTAAACTGCTCACTTTAGCCATTTTCCAATCAATACATCACACTTTATGACGCAACGCATATCATTTTTACTTGTCCGTTAAAAAAAAAACTCACTTTGACAAAACAAGAGGTGGAAGGAGGAGCAGGAGGAAAAGGGAAGAACTAAGATGTGTCCTGTCTGTGCACCAGCTCCCCATGATGAATGGAAACTGCACACACACTAATAGACATTAAAAATAAATTTAAATACAAAAGAAAGAAATCCTGGTGACAGGAAAAGGGTAGAGAATATGGATTAGAGTGCATTTAAGGTTTCAAGCCCTGCACACAGGTAGGACAGGCAGAAGGCAGCGCTGTCATGCACAAAGAGAAACTGTCAAGCCAAAGGATTCTTGCAAAGAAAATCATGAAATCTGAACAACTAGTCCAAAAATCATGATAGCTTCAGCTAAGTCCAGTGTGCCGAGCCCACAGGAATCCAGAGTCCTGGCCAGAAAGGTGGCTATGAAGAGATGCGCTGTGGGGAGTCCTTGGGATAAGAGGAGGAAGCCTCCGAGGTGAGAGCTCGCTGTCCACTGTCACCAAGCTAAACAGAGACCTGTTGACAGGGAAGCCAGGTGGGCCAGTATTCTAGCATCTTCCATCTGTGACTACTCCTCTGAGCTAACCCAAGTGCTCTCAGAATTCTCAAAAGTTACCAAAGGTGGAAAAAATATGCTCCTCCCACGAGTCTAGCTTTGAGCTGAAGTCTTCAGAGAGAGTGGAATCGGTTTCAAAATTCTGGGTTTGGGAGTCACAGTCAGAGTGGCCCCCTGCAGCCCAGCTGGGGTAGGACCCGCAGTTCAGGTCCACTTCCAGAGGTGGCGGTGGCGGCAGCGGCGGCGGCTGCAGCGGTTGTGGTGGTGCTGGCGGCAGTGGAAGCGGCTTCCCAGGAGCTGACGAGTGGAGGAAAAGCTCCCGCTTGGCTGCATACTGAAAGGATTTCCCATTCTGTCGCCGGGACTTGGCACGCCTGTTCTGGAACCACACCTGAAGAGGACAGACACAGTTTTGGGTCGGAAGTCTTATGCATAATTCAACACAATAAATTCCAGGTGGGTGTGGAGGCGCCCTCCTGTGATCCCAGCACTTGGAAGGTGGAGGTAGGAGAATCGCTGTGAGTTCAAGGCCAGCCTGGGGTACATAATGCGACCCTGTCTCCCAAACCATAATAATAAAATAAGTAGAGGAAGAGGAAGAGGAAGAGGAAGAGGAGGAGGACGGAGGCGGGGAGGAGTAGGGAGTTGGATGGGGTGGGGATGGCGCGGCAGGTATTCCCGGCTATTTCCCCAGAAACCGATAGTACCCCACCCCGTACCCCTGCTGTGCGGAAATCAAGCGCGTGTAAACACCCTCGCAGGGCTAAACCCTGACGCTTGCACAGGCACAGGCAACTGAGGAGGCTCCTAACTACCAATCTGGGGTTCTGAGTAAATGACTTCAGGTACTCAACGCACTTTGCACTGGGTTTCTCAAACTGTGACAAAAGTTCCAGATGCTTCAGACCCCAAATCGCTGTCTCCTTTAAAATCCCAACCCCCGACCAAACCGTGCAAAGGGAGTGGCCTAGCGGTACCTGCCACGCCATCCTTGCCCCAGCCAACTTCTCCAAACCCAAGGCACTTCCCTCCACGATGTCTTCTTCTCGCCCAAAACTGCGCCGCGAGCGGAACACTGGGTCTTCGCACAGAGCCACACGCCCCAGCCCTTTTTAAATTTTCACTCGGGATCTCGCTAAGTCACTACATGGTCGATACTGGGCTCGAAGTTGTGAGCGTCCTGCCTCAGTCTCCCTGAGTGCCAGCCACCGTCCCACCATCACCTTCCTGCTGGTATTCACTCCCTGACCGTCTCAAGGGCTCCGCTGGCCCCCCTGAGCCCTGCCTGTCCTCGGGGTACCGCACGCCCGTCGAGGCCAGGCAGGACCCCGCGCCCCGCGGCCGCGGCGCAGAGGCCGGCCGAGAGAGGACCCCGCGCCGCTTACCTGGATGCGCGCCTCGGGCAGCCGGGTGCGCACGGCCAGGTGCTCGCGCAGCTGGATGTCGGGATACGCCGTCTGGCAGAAGACGAGCTCCATGAGGCGCAGCTGCTCGGCACTGAACGACGTGCGCTTGCGGCGCTGCGGCACCGGCGGGGCGGCGCCCGCGGGGGGCGGCGGGGGCGCGCGGGGCGGGAGCGCGGGGAGCGGGGAGCCGCCTGGGAGCCGCAGCGGCCGGGACCCCGGCGCGGACATGGCTCGGACGCCGAGCCCGGCCGCGCCGCAATTATAGGACCCGGCGGCGCTCAGAGGGGGCCTGAGCCCGCGCCCCGGCCGCCGCCGCCAGACACGGCCCGGTCGCTTCCGCGGGGGCGGGGAGGCGCGAACTCCGGCCGCGTCCCCAATCCACATCCGGCGCGGGCTCCAGCCCCTCCGAAGCGGGCGGTCGGCCCCACTCCGGGGGTGTGGGCACCCCCGCTGCGCGCCAGACCCTCGCCGGAGGTCAGCAGAGCCGGGGACAGAGTGCGCGCGTGGCGGGGTCTCGGCGTCTGCCGCCCTCGCCCCTCTGCCTGCCCCGGCCGCGCCTGGCGAGGTCCGCTGTGCGGTGCTGGAGCACCAGGGTGATGCCCGAGTCGCTCACATCGGGCGCCCTGCGGCCCCAGGGCACCCGGCACTTGCTAAGAGCCGCACTCCGCAGGGCTCGGCGCGATCTTCCGAGGCCCGAGGCCCGGCAGGTGTAGGGCTGATGGGCACCGGGAGGCTGTGGGCCGGGGTCCGCTGTCCAGGGCGTCCAGGCCTCGCTCTCCGCTCCGTCCTTCCGCGCCTGCCTTCTGCCCCCTCGGTCCTCTTTAACGTCCCCGCGAGGTCCTGAGTGTGTGTGTGTGGGGGGGGTATATCAGGACCAGAAGGACAGCGACAAGGGCCACACCTGCGCTCCCTGCGGGTTTACTTTGTGACCCCCCCCCGCTCCCCCCCTTCACCACCACTATACCTGGGGATCAGCCTTATGAATTGTAGGTCAGCCCTCTACCACTGAGCTGCGACCCCAGTGCTTATTCGTTTTGTCTTATTTTTGTTTGATTGGGACAGGATCTCCCTAAATCACTAAATTGCCCAGGCTAGGTTTGGACTTACGATTATCCTGCCTCAACCTTTCAGAGTTTTGGGAACTCTCAGGAGTGTGCCACCACCCCTGGCTCACTCACTCTGTAGTTTGTTATCTCAAAACAAAACTCAAGAGGGGTCTCATTGCTAGAGTGTGTTTTTTATATTCGTTCTTAGAAAGTAGTTATACCTGTCCAAATTTTACAGACCTAGAGACACACCAAAGCCAGACATGATCTAAGGGAGGCCTAGCCTCATCGCTGTTTGCTGTTTTCCTGAATGTGTTGTGTTAGGGTCTGTATCAAGCAAGGTTTCAGCCTGCCTTTCTCTCTTCTTGTTGCTCTTTGATTTTGTTGTTTTGTCAGTGTCAGGGATCAAACTCTTCTGAACGTCTTCCTTTTGTTTTAAATTAATTTCTTACCAAGGTGTGACTGCAGATGGCCACAATAATCTTGCTGAGGATTATTTTAGTAGAAATCAGGCTTGGAATTGCAAGGGAATTGTTGGAAAAGAAAATTTTCACAGTGCTGCTTTATTGTTTCTTAATCATATGCATCTTTAATTGTTGAGTACATCTTAACTTTATTTTTAAAAATTTTTTGAGACAAGGTCTTGCTATGTAGCCCAGGCCTGGAAACTTGCAATGATCCTCCTACCTCAGTCTCCTGAGTGAATTGCAGGGTTGTGCCCACTCATTTGGCGACTCTTCTGTTCCCACTTCCCCAGCTGGAAAACGGAAAGAACCTGCTGCTCAGTGATGTCCTTGGAAATTATTACTGCAAGTTACTTTCCCCAAATAGATGGTCTGTGAAAGGTAAGGCTCCAGAAGACAGCTTGTGGGTTTACTGGTTCAGAATAGTGAACTAAAGTTTGAAGGTATTTGAACACACTGATGACTGAGCTCAGGGTCTGGATTCTCCTCCCTTCCCTATCCTGGGCCCTCAACACTGGGTTTGCTGAGTGCTTTGGTTTCTTAGTCCACTCTAGTCCACCAGCTGAGACAGACACCAGCCAGGCAAGGTGGACTAGACAACACTGAGCTGCCACCATGTCCAGGGAAGTCAGGATGTGGGGAGGAGTACCCATCTGGATGAGGGCTGAGGCATCAGGACCATTGGGGTTGCTGTCCTCTCTGCACCCCGATTTCTAACCACAACCACAGTGCCTGTAGCCCACAGTAAACATCACGGGAGCTGCCATCTTCCCCAAGTGCTAAGTGCTAAGTGCTCTCTTCCCGGCTCTTTGTTGTTCAGAGCCAGCCCTCTTGCTGCCACCAACCTGTGGAAGAAGATCTCCCTGTGTTTATCAAGGGCAGGCAGGAAAGGGCAGCCTGGGGGCACTGATGGCTCTGCTTCCACCTGGGGCCCACTTGGCAGGCTGTTTAGCCCTTTGATCCCTGCATCCTTTGATTTCCTCTTTAGATCTCCAGACCTCTTGGGTTTCTGAAGCTGATTTCAGAGCCAGTAGTGAGGGGAGACAGGAAAAAAAGCCCTCCCAGAAGTGACCTATGCCCAGGAAAGAAGCCCCTGAGGGTAGCACAGGCTGTGCCCTGGGGATACCAGGAGCAGAAGAAGTTAGTGCTGAACTTGGGGGAGTGAGGTTTTCAAAGTTTGATCCTCTTCTTTCTTCCAGTTATTTGTATCCAGTAACTGGGCAGGGGAGATTACTGTGTCTGTCACTACCTGAATCACAGCAGAGCTAACAAGGAGCTGAGAGAATGCATCCCCCTCAGGAAGCCAGGCCTTGCCCAGGCTGTCAGAGAGGAGACCTTAAGCGGCCAGCAGGGTGTCTGGCTCTTAACTTCATATAAGTCCTTTCTGCCCTGGGTCTGTGGAGCATATGAAATGGAGCTCTTTAATTCTCCAAAGTTTTCTGTCTTTTGACGTGCTGAGGATCAAACTCAAGACCTCACACACACTAGCTAGGTAAGTGCTCTTCCCCTGAGCACCATTATCTGGATATTATTTTCTTTCTTTCTTTCTTTCTTTCTTTCTTTCTTTCTTTCTTTCTTTATTTCTTTCTTTCTTTCTTTTTGGCACTAGGGATGAAATTGCAACCCCACTGTTGCTGGGCAAGTGCTTATGCCACTTAGCTAGCCCTATTTCATTTCTTTTTTTTTTTTTTACCTATTGATCAATTTTATTTCCAAACAGAAATCTCTATATAAACAGAGCCAGTAAAGTTGTGTAATGGTATTAGTCTTTAAAACATCTTTTATAAATAAATAAAGGGAAGATGTAAAATACTTTGCTTGGTGAATATTAATTGCGAAATTTCTTCTTCTTCCTGAATTTTTTTCTGGCTGCATTTGCTGCTTTTTCAGCCATGATCTCTAAGTACTTCCTTCGGTTATATCTTCTGAACTCAGAATCAGCCAGCAGTTCTTCTATAATAGTCTTTTTCCTTTGCTTCTTGGGAATTCGTGAATGGTAGAAGTCAGCTGGATTGTCAACAATAGTTCCAATCTGGAAGCACTTAGGGAAGCCGTCTCGGTCATTTTTCTTGTAAAATCTTTTTGGATCCGTGCTTGCTCTCATCTTCAGAGCTTTGAGATCGTTTTTAAGTTCTTCAGTCGGTTCTGGAGCTTTCATCACCTGCAGTTTTTTGTCGCTCTTTCCTGCGTTTTTTCTGAAGTTGCCGCTTTGATTCACTATATGGTGGGACTTTTCAAAATCGGGTGTAACAGCCGCTTTCTGTAGGAGCTCATTTTTCTTTTTCTCCTTGATCTGTGTTAGAGTTTTCTTTTTTGACTGAAGTTTTTCTGCATTGAAATTAATATATACACCACCCAACTGCTTGATACTCAGACCAGGGTCTATACTGCTACTTGTCAACTTCAGAAGTTTAGACTTTGTGTTATTTAGTAAGTCATCTTCATCACTCTACTCATCTTTATTTCTGTCACTATCTGATGGTTCTTCCTCACTGTTTTCATCTTCTTCCTCTTCTTTTTCTTCCTCAGTGATATCCTCACTTGCCTTATCTCCCAAGTAAAATTTTTTATCAGCATTGATTCCAGGAGTTGTGTCAATTACAAAGAATGCATTGTCATGAGATGTATTTTCTGAGTTGCCATTTGATGATTCCTTTTGACCACTATTTTCAACAAAACACAGAGTGTCCTGTTCACTTTCATAGCTTTCAGATTGCTGGCTTTCATCACTGCTGAGAACTAGTAAGACAGAATCCTCTATATCCTGAGGCTGGCCCAGCTCAGGTTTGTTTAGTCTGGCATCACATTCATCTATACTCTTTTCACTGTTGTGCTCACTGTCAACTTTACTTGTGGACTCTTCCTCATAATCACCCCCCTGACCACTGAACTTTGTCAAGTCACTTACTTTATGGTGCTTTTTCCCTTTTCATTCCATCTGTTTACTTCTAAACTGCAAATGTTTATGCTAATGATTTCATGATGGCCTCGTGGTTCAGATTTGAGGGCTCTGATGTGGCCTTATTTTCAGGGGCTGAATGCTTTTGAGAGACTAACTGCTGAAGACTAGTGTACTGAAGTTTAGAAAGGCATTTCAACTGAGAACTTTTATCATTTTCCTTTTCTTCATCTATTCTGTTTCCCTCTTCATCCAAACTCCGTCTGGTACCTGAATCCTCTGATTTCATAAAGATATCCACGATTCCCTTATTTTCTGGTACAATCTTAGTATATTTATTATCAGTTTGTGCCTGTAATTTCCTTGGCACAATTCTGGTGATTCTCTTATGTATAATTCCAGGGAATGAAATGTCAGAGTATGATGACTCAGCATCAGATAGAACTTCTGCATGTGATTCTTGGTTTTGACCAGTTAGAGATTTGGCCTTATTTCTGGTTCTTGTCACTTCTGGCGAAGACCCAATTCTAGAAACACCTGAAGTGTGAGATTCTACTTCAGAGACAATTTCTTCGGCAACAGATTCATTTAGTGCACTTATTTTCTGCTTTTTTCTTACAGTGGATGCTGGTATGGGTGCAATTATGATCTGTCTTCTCCTAGTTATTCTCAGAATAGGCTCCTGGATCTCAGATGGTGAAGAACAATTTGACTCTGTTTCAGAGAATTCTCCATCAGTAAGTAGGTGGTTCAGTTATCTCTGCTGGTCAGCCTGTGGTAGTCCTGCTCTTCCTCTTTCTGATTTTAGGAGTTATAGAGATTGAACTTCTTTTTCCAGCAGTCTGCGATTCAGCTGTGCTTTGGTTATCAGGTTGAGATTCCTTCTTGCTTTCTGGATGTGCCTGAATTCCTCCAGCAGCAGAACTCTTCTGCTGGGAGCTGGCGGCCGACGTGACTTGTATTGTAGCCCCAGAACGTGCAGACCTCGTTACCACCATTTTTGCAGCCTCCCGTCCCTCCCTATTTCATTTCTTTTTAATTGACTTAAATTCTAATCACAATATGTGGCTGGTAGCTCCCATATTTACGAGTGTAGTTATACACCATCATCTGGTGAAACATTAATCTTTGAAAACTTTTTGTGTGTAAATGCAGAGACACCTAGATAATGAGAAACTATATACAAGTTTGATTTTTTTTTTTTTGGAGACAGTTCTTTCTACTTAGCTCAGTCTGATCTTGAACTCACTAGTCCAGGCTGGCTTTGAATTTGCAATGATCCTTCTGCGTCAGCCTCCAAGTGTTGGAATTATAGGTATGTACCATGACACCTGGCTAGTACTGAGAATTGAATCCAGGACTTCACACTTATTAGACAAGTGTTTTACCATTAAGCTACATCCTAGCCTCACATTTGAATTTTAAACTCCCATTTTTGTTGAACTCATTAGATCATTAGAATGGTCACTTTGTTTTAATACCGCATATTCTCATACAGATTTGGCTTTGTGTGTTATCCTTAGCGTTCATAAATGGCCTTTTTTCAAAAGTGGCAATTTGGGTTCACTTGCTGGTTAAAGATTTGTACCAAAATCAGTCAGTCTCTCTGTCTTTCTGTCTGTCTGTCTCTCTCTCTCTCTCTTTCTCTCTCTGTGTCACACATGTAATCCTAATACTCTGGGAGACTGAGGCAGGAGGACTGGGCAACTGGAGACCTTATCTCAAAATAAAAAATAAAAAAGCACTGGGGATGTAGCTCGGTGCAGAGACCCTAGGTTTAATCCACAGTACCACACTGAGCTACTGTAGATCCTCAGGCCCTAGAGAAACCTATGCTCAGGATTCCACCCAGGGTGCTGTGCGTGCCAGACAGGTGCTCTCCCCCAGTCCCTAAGGTCTTACCTTTTTTCTTTCTTTTCTCTTCTCCTCTTTTTCCTTCCTCTTTTCTTTCCTTCCTTCCTTCCTTCCTTTATTCCAGCTTCCCAGGAGAAACAAGTGCACTGCTCCCGAGGGGCAGCCCACCCCTTTACCCTTCACGTGTGTACTTCGCAGGCATGCTTTGAAATTGATAGCTGCATTCTCAGGAAATTGAGCATTTAGCTTTCTTAGTGACCTGAACTTCCTGCACTTGTTCAGATGGAGAGAAATAACTGACCTCATTTTCTCTGCTATTGAACTCATGCCTGTGCTCCCTCAGTTCCTGAATCAGCGAGCAGCTGCCCTATCTGCATGTAAGGCCTGGCTGGTGGAAACACAGTTGTGCTGCTCTGACAGCAGTTTAGTCCTCTGAGCTCAGACTCCTGACCGGTTGTGGCCCAGATGTCCTTTCATTTGAGTTTACTTCTTGTACATAATGTTGCAAAGAATCCTGTTTTTAACTTGATGGTTATTCTGAGATTATTTAAACTTAATAGAGTCTTGTCTTTGCATACCACTTTCCACTAAAAGGAAAAGAACGCTTTTTTGAGAAATGTCTCCTTCATTTGAGAAATGTCTCCTTGGGACAGCAAATATGTAAGCTGGAATATTTAATCATACTTGACAGCAGTTTCTGAGGTAGTGAGTATTCTCAAAACATAATTTGAGGCTGAGTGTGTTGGTGTATGCCTGTAATCCCAGCGTTCAGGAGGCTGAGGCAGGAGGATCTAAATGAGTTGGAGCTAGCCTGTCTCAAACAAGAAGAAGAAGAAGAAAAAAAAAAAAACGTAATTGGGGGTTAGGCCTGGTGGTACACTCCTGTAATCCCTAGCATTCTGGGAGGCCAAGGCAGGAGACTGAAACTTCAAGCCCAGTGTGAGAAACTCAGTGAGACCCTATCTCAGAAAAGGAGTGGGGCAGGGGGCTTGTTATAATCCATTATTTCATAATGATTAGTAATTTTTTTGAGGTGGGGGTCTCTATGTTGCCTGGGCTAGTCTTTTTAATTATTTTATTTATTTGAGGAAAGTTGGGACAGGATTCTCTATGCTGTTCAGGCTGGCCTGGAACTCACTATGTAGTCCAGGCTGGTTTCAGACTCATGGTGATCCTCTGCCCTCTGAGCACTGGGATTATAAGTGTGTGTCACTATGCTCACTCCCCAGACTAGTTTTAAATTCCTAATTTGAAGCAGTCCTGCCTGGTACCCCAGTTAGCTGAGGAAACAGGTGCATACCACTGTGCTCAGGTTCTAGTAATTACTTTAAAAATGATTGGTAGGGCCAGGGGTTTAGTTCAGTGGCACAAGCGCCTCTCTGTCAAGCACAAGGTCATGAGTTCAATCCACGGTATGGAAAAAGATTGGTCAACATGGATGGCCTCTGGAGAGCAAGCTTTTTCTTAGGAAACTAGTGTCTATTCTGCTTTTCCTGTGGCTCAGGGTAAACCAACTGTTGGTGGAGAAGGATTTCTCCTTATTAGAAGCATTGTGCTGATTAAGGAAGAAGGAATATGGGGGTGGAGGAGTGACTCAGTGGCAGAACACTTGGCTGTCAGGAGGACTTATGTTTGATCTCCAGCACTGGAAAAAATCATAACGTTAAGAAGGAAGGCTGGAATGTGGCTGCCTTCCATTGTAGGACAGCCTAAGCAGTGCAGTCCTGCTTGTGAGGAACCACCTGGGGGTGGTTCGGGACCAGATGCAGAGCTCAGGTCGGTCAGGCTGCTGGCTCTCAGGCAAAATCCTCAGAGTGCAGGGAACTTGTCACAAAACCCACCCTGGGAGGCTGGGGATTTATCTCAGTGGTGTACAAAACAAACAAACAGCCCCACACTGGGGAGTCATGGCACAAACAGCCAGCAGCTCCATCCAATCCAAGGGGGATAGACTAAGGAGCTTCGGGTGGGCCCTGAGCTAGAGCAGGGACCAACCCGCCTGGGTGCCATGCAGCGCCTGGCGCCTCACTGTCAGGGTGAAGGCGCTGACGGGCTGCCTGCAGCTAATGAAGTGTGTGTCACCAGCTCCCCAGAAGGAGCTGCATGGTTGACTTCAAGGTTCACACCCAAGCGGCTCAGGATTATTCAAGGTAGTCCCAGCCTTTTGGAGGCTGCGTTACAGGCAGAAGGATTGCTAGCTCCAGCACAGCGAGACAGGCTCAACATACAACAGAAAAGTTTGCCGGTTAAGCTCAGTCATAGGGGCTGGGGATTTAGCTCAGTGGCATAAGCGCCTGCCTTGCAAGCAGGCAGTCATGAGTTCGATCCCTGGTACTGATAAAAAGGAAAAAGACAAAAAAAAAAAAAAAAAGAAAAGAAAAAAGGTCAGTCATAAAGGCTCCGGCCCAGCGCTATCTCCAGGAGGAGGCTCGGAGTAGGCTGGAGAGCCTCAGAAGGGTGCCGCCTGGTTCCCGGGAGTCACACAGAGGGGTGCATAGGCTGGGACTCGGCACTGCAGCTGTCGCTCATGGGGACTCAGCTAGGGGATAGAAGGGGCGCTCCTAGAAGTGGAGCATCCTGCAGGTCACGTGGCGGGGAGCCAGGGAATCTGCCAGCCAGGCCCCTAGTAACCCTCGGGGCCAGGCCTGCACCTGGGCCTCGAGGTGGAATGAGTGCGGCTGGGGAAGGGGCGGCAAGAGGCAGAGTTAGGACGCTGTCACCTGCTCCCCACCTTCTCCCTGACCCTCGCCAGTCTGCCCCGCAGGAAAGCCCGTTTCTAAGCCCAGAAAGCCTGCTCATAGGTCCTCGGTTAACTACATGCTGTTCTCTAGGTATTCATAATCTTTTCAGTAGTTTTCTCTCTGTGGGAAGCCCTATAATTGGCTGCCACCTTATATCTGCAGGCAGCACCACCTTAACCCTCTCTAGGAGTTAAGTTTGGTAGTTAAGCAGCACCTTATCTACCTAGCTTGTTTGGTCTATTCAGGGATTATGTTAATCAGCCCACTTTAGGAGTCAGTGCATGGGAAATTTGAATTAACCTATGACCCTCAGTCTTGCCACTGTTGCTAAGTTACCTGCTGAAACCAACTCCCTCCACCCCCAATACCCTATATATTTGTTACTTTTTCCTTTAATAAATGAGACTTGATTGGATTTCTGACTTGTCTCCATTCTTCACGTCTCTTGTCCCCTTTCATCCCCACTCTGCCTCTAGGGTCTCCGTGGACTTACCTGCAGGGACATCTCCCATTATGGAATTACTATACTCTGTGCTAATTACAGAGAAGTGAAGCAAACCACGGCCGAAAGGAAAGATCTATAAATATACCTAGATCCATAAACGTGTTTAGGGGCAGCCACTCTCAACCCTTTTATAGGCGAACAGTGAGTGTTTCTTTCTGTGTGTTTACATGTTTCTAGTGCATAGTTTTTGTATAGAATCATCCTAGTTCTCTAACCCAAATATAATTTATTTTGAGGCATAAGTTTAGAAGTGTTTATTGTATCCTAGTCCACTTTCTGTTGCTGCATCAGAATGCTCAAGACTGGCAATTTATAGAGAAATGAGGTTAATTCTAGCATATAGTTCTAACGGCTGGAAGATCTCATGCTACCTCAGCTTGAGGACATCACACAGGCCAATGGGCATGCACAGGAAGGGTGATGCTTTTATTACAATCCACTCTGCAAGTGACCTGTCCATTTCTGAAGGAACTGCATCAGTCCAGTCACTCTTAAACCTCCCTCGGCCTCCCAAGGCTGACATTGGGACCTGATCCCAACCTGAATCTCAGAAGTGACTGATCATACCCAAAGCACTGTGCACCAGCTCCTGTGTGCCTAAGGTACCTTAAAGTCTGCAGCTAGTTCTCCGCATTTATATGGTCAATTAATGAAAACAAATCTTTGCCCTCATTGTCTGAAACTTGTGTAACTGTACATGTGTAGGTATGGGAAAAGGTGTGGTATCAGGTGGAACAGGTAGGTCCTAACCTTTGTGATCCCTGAGTTTAGAGTTCAAAGTACTCTGGGCACCCCAGCACAATCGGGCCACTCTGTGGGGCCCAGAAGACCTGCTGTCCTCAGGCCATCTTGAGGAGGGGTACCAGAGTGCTGCGAGTTCAGGACATGTTCAATGACAGGAACAGTTGAACAGGTTAGGTGTCCTGGAGAGTGGTTGAGGACAGGCCAGGGACAGGGAAGTCCTAGGGAGAGGCCACTGGGGCCCTGGGAGCCTCCTTCCCCTCGGCCTCACCTGCCACCTCCGAGTCTCGCCTCATTGTACAGGAGCCGGGTTCGGGGCTTCTCCCCGCCCGCCCTCATGGTAGCCAGGCCAGGCCGGGTCTCTCGCGGGCCTCACCTCGTTGGGCGGGAGGGGCGCTAGGGGCAGCTGGACTCCAGCTTCAGGCGCGGGTGGGGCCCCGAGCCGAGGTGCCCAGACTGGCGTGGGTTGCCCGGCGTTGGAGGCCGGCCCGGCCGGTTGGGGGCTGCAGGTAGGAGTCACAGCGCCCGCCTCTGCGCAGGGGAGCCGGGCCGGGGTGCGGACCAGCGGAGCACGCCGTCGGGGCCGGTTCCGGGGGGCGCGGCGGGCCCCCTCGGCCCTGCGGGAACCCTTCCCCGGTTCATCGCAGAGGGGCCCGCGAGGCCTCGCCGCTGATGCGCGGCTGCCGGAGCCCCAGCACGGCCGCCGTTCACTCCCTTGGCGGCTAACGCTTCCCGCCGCACTTCAAAGGCTCCAAGAAGGGCGCAGAGGGCCCGAAGGTGCGCGTCTCCTCAGCGTGCCCTCTGGGGCTGGAGAGAACTGCGGGGAGAAGAAGCGGCGTCGGGCGCGGGACGAGCGCTATCGAGGGGCTGCGACTGCGACACCTCCAAGGAAAGCGCCCCCAAGCTGCAGGCTGGGCTCGCAGGCGCGGAGAGGGCAAGCCGAGAGCTGCGGCTGCAGACAACGTGGTTGGTACCTCAGGGACGCCGAGGACAGCGCGACCACCGAGTAACTCCCCGGCCAGATCCCGCGCAGTTAAAAAAGGTAGACTGAAACCACACCCCAGAGGCCTGTGTCTCAGTCTGGGGAGGCTTCTCTAGTGTGCTGCGGTGCGAGGGCTGGAGTAGACTTTAAAAAGACTGCTGTCCTGTGTCTGACTCAGTTTCCTTTCATGTGAAGAGAGCTCGAGGAATGCAAGCGTGGAAAGGCAGCGCTGGTGTCTGAGTCTGTTCTGTTTGGAACACTGGGTACACAGCGCAAGCTCTTTGATCAAGTTTTGCTGTGCTAAGGATGGAACCTAAGGGCTTGTGGATGCTAAACTAAGGAAGCTCTTAACCCTGAGGCACCTGCCCCCTAGCTCTAGAACTCTTATTGTTTATTGTTTTTTGGTTTGGGGTTTGGGGTTTTGGTTGTTGTCGTTTTGGTTTTTTGAGACAGGATCTCACTATGTAGTCCAGGTTGGCCTTAAACTCATGCAAATCCTCCTGCCTCAGCCTCTCCTGTGCTGGGATTACAGGCATTGGCAACATACCCAGAAAAACTCAATTCTTCATTCCCAATCATGTGTACATTAGAAGGCAAGATATTATAGAGCTGAAATTCGTGTGTATTCTCTCTACTACTTTTAAGTCAGATTTTACTTTTTCCCGTAAGCAATTTATTTTTTATTTTATTTTATTTTATTTTATTTTTTGTCTTTTTCTTTTTCATCGGTATCAGGGATCGAACTCATGACCGCCTGCTTGCAAGGCAGGTGCTTATGCCGCTCAGCTAAATCCCCAGCCCCGCAATTTATTTTTTAAACACTGCAGAAGCAAGCTGGTAATCTCATCAAACGGTTTCTAGTCTCTAATCTCTCTTTTTTAAACTCCTGGCTCTTTAGTGGAAACTTCGAGGAACTCTGAACTAGGATCTGAACTCAGGAGCCTGGTACAGAGGGGACCTGCAGGGCCCAAGGCTGAGGATGCATGAGGCCACTCCAAAAACAAGCTCTGCAGAACTCTCACATCTGCTGTAGTGCAAGGGGCTTCTTCCCAGGTTGGAGGTGGGGGGTGCGAGTGGGGGCCTGACTGCTGAGGGAGATGGGAAAGAGCCTGTGCCTGTTTAGGGCTCAAGGACAGAGGAGACAGGCAAAGAGGACAAAATAAGGAAGGGACAGGAATCTCAGGTTGCATGACCTGGATCTGTTTGCAGGCTCTGATGGTGCATCTCATGTGGACTCCACTGCAACCTGCTCCTGGGACTGGGATCTCATATACTCACAAGAGGCAGCTGGTGACAGGCAGTCCTGGAGAAGCAGGTCTGTGTGGAGCCTGGCATTGTCTGTTCTCTCCCTGACCATGTGCGCACCTGTGTATGTGTGTGTGTGTGTGTGTGTGTGTGTGTGTGTGTGCTACTAGGGATTGAACTTGAGGCCTTCTCACTGAGCTACATCCCCAGTCCTTTTTCACTTTTATTTTGAGGCGGGATCTTGCCTATTGCTGAGTTGTCCAGATTTGGCCTGAGCTTGTGATCCTCCTGCCTCAGCGCCTCAGTGCTGGAGTGACAGGCCAGCAACACCACATCAGGCTGAGCCAGTCATTGTCCTGCATACAAGACTCTGATGCCCTCTCTGCAGTCCACTGTCTATGAGCCATTTCTCCCACCTGATAGGTTAGGACCCTGAAGCTACACAAAGGGTCTAGCACTGGCCAGGAGCCCCAGACGTGCATGTATTGGGGATGGCTCTGCCCATACCCCCAGTTCCACTCAGTTCCTAGCAGCACCCTGTGGGCTCTGAGCCACTGCTGGGACTAGGAGAAAGCCACGGACACTTGCTGGTGAGCTTTCCTGCCTCCTTGCCATGCAGCATCATCATCACAGGAGCCCCAAAGGGATGGAGTCTTGCGGGGACAGCCCTGTCCTCAGACAGCCAACTCAGGGTCAGCTGAATGACCTTATGATCCACCCAGGGTACTGCCACTCCTGCCCCGCCTGGTACTGGTGTGCAGGTGGGTGACCTCCTGTGGCCCAGGAGCACAGCCTGCCTGCCTCTCCAGCTCAGCCTCTCTGTGTCCCATTGACTGTAAACTGGCACCAAGGAGGACTGAAGGCAGAATGTGCAACAAGCCCTAGAGGGCATTGTGAGTTCTCATGAATTGCCACAGGAAAACAGTATCTTTTCTGAGTGGGAAAAGCCGCATAACAAAACCATATGGAACTACTTTATTTTATTTTTGGGGGAACTATTTTCTTAAAAGATACACACATGTACAGTACACAGAAAAACTTCCGAAAAGAGAGTTTTCAGAATATTGACTCTGCTTATTTTTAGAAACTGAGATTGTACACACTCATCAAATTTGGGGGGGAAATAGACATTATTTTAAAAATCAATCTTTTGGGGCCAGGGATATAACTCAGCAGCACAGCACCTGCCTTGCAAGCAGAAGGTCCTGAGTTTGATTCCTGATACCAGAAAGAAAAATCAATCTGTTGGACTGATTCACCCCACAAAACTGCTGTTTAGTCAGGTGACTTGCTGCCCCTCTCAGGTCCTTACTGTGAACAGAGCAGTCTCCAAAGCTCTTCCTGATTGCTGAGTGCCTCCTGACACAGGTCCTGTGATGACACATGTAGGAGCAGGAGAATGTGGTTTTCCATGCCCAGTGGGTGAGAGGCAGGGGAGGGCTGGATGCCTCTCAGCAGCCCTGGGAGTCCACTGTGGTTGGAACATCAACTCTTCCACCAGCTGGCAGTGCATTGGCCAACTCGGCTCCTTAATGCTCTCCCTGTATAGCACTGGCACCGGCCTGCTGGTTTCTTTCCAGCTTCATGACTCAAATCCTGGACAGCTAGCACAAGGAGAAGGCATAATTACTGGCCATGAGTCTTTGAGTAGCTAAACTACTCGGCTTCTGAGAACCTTTTCCTGGGCCTAGTGAACACTTGCCTGAGAAAGTACCTGCTGAGTCAGTGTAGCACAAACCTCCCTAGTGAGGCCAGGGTACCTCATACCTGACCTAGTTCTTGTCACCACCCCCAAGTGATGTTTATTACCCTGGTCATCCAGCAAGAAACCTATTAAGTTGGTTTAGCCAGAATCCCCTGACCCTGAAAGTTTTCTCTTCATCATTTCCCACTCACCCCACTCCCTGACCCACTGTATTTGAGGTCCAGTGCTGTCTCCCCCATAGTCCTGTTGTGGAGTGTCTAGGACGCTCAAGATGGTTCCGAATCAGATTTCCTTATCTTGCTTTCACAAATGGCATGGAGACAGCTGCCTTTGGGGGACTGGTCCTCTCCCTGTCCCAAGTATGCCCCCAAAATACTATACATATGGGGTCCCTGCATGTGTCTGCTGTGTCCTCACCTAAGTCTGGAGGACGCCTGCTTGAAGGCGTCCTCTTGCTTGACTTCCAAGGGCATACAGACTCAACCAAAAAGGGGGCTGGGAACATCCTATCCTGGAAAGAAGTCCCTCAAGATACTATGAAGTGAAGCAAGCAAACAGGTTACTGAGAGCTCATTTGTGTGTGTGTGTGTGTGTGTGTGTGTGTGTGTGTGTGTTCATTTTATTTCAAAGAGAAAGGAAAAAAATTCAAATTTTAAAGCATGTCAATTGGGGGCAACAATGCCATACATATTGTGCAGTGTCTCCAAATGATTCACTCAGAGCACAAGACATCTGCATTCAATTGTCCAAACAGTACCAGCACAAATCTTTCTCTTCAGTGAACTCAGAGAAGTCAGTGGTATAACTATCTTAACTATCTTTTTATATACATATACATATTGTTATGGCTGATACATTATGTGAACTTGAAAAGTTTAGAAGTTTAGCTGAGAGACTCAGCACAGAGCCAGGATCCTTACTTTGTAAATACCCTTGTCCTGTGAAAGAGGAGGGCGTCGAGATTCTGTGAGTGCTATGCCTACCATGATAGGCTGCATGGCCTGTGTGCAGGATAGGGGAGGAGAAGAGGCTTACTCTCTCCCCTTTTGTTCCTGCTGCTTTTGCTGGCTGCAGCCTTGAAATGTTGCCCCTGTGCCTTGGAGCCAGTGATTATAGGCTGAAACCTCTATAAACTGTGAGCTAAATAAACCTTTCCTTCCTTCATTTTGGGTGCCAGGTAATTTTGTCCCAGCAAAGACAGAAAAGTAACCAAGACACACTTTTCTCTCATTGCTGAGACAAAATATTTGACACCTGGGCAGGTGTAGCACTCACACCACCAATCCCAGGGCTAGACAACAAACCAATCACAAACACTAAAACTCAACTACCTTCAAAAGGCCACCCCTTGTGACCACATGAGTGTCTTTTGGTAGGACATTTAAACACAAACCATAAAAATATATTGTTTCAGCTTCTCACGCTAGTGAGAAAATATGTTGACATGTGTCTTATTTATTTCACTTATGAGTATGGTCTTAAGTTGCATCCATTTACCTATAAAAGCCTCCAGTTTATCCTTCTTTATGGATGAGTAATACTCCATTGTATAAAAATACCACATCTTTTTATCCACTCCTCAGTCACTGGATATATAGGTTGTTTCCAAGATCTAGCTATTTCAAATTGTGCTGCTATAAACATGGGTGCACATATATTGCTGTGGTATGATGTTTTTAAGTCTTTGAGAAGATACCCAGAGGGAATAGCTGGGTCAGATGAAACCTCTAGTCCTAGTTTTTTCAGGAATCACCATACTAACTTCCACAGTGGTTGCACCAGTCTAATCTGCCACCTAACAGTGAAGAAGTATTCTTTTTTTCCCCACAAACCCTCTAGCATTTGTTATTGGTTGATTTATTGATAATAGCCATTCTTTCTGGGGTGAGGTGGAATTTCACTGTTGTTTAATTTATTATTTATTTATTGATTTAGTCTTTTTGAGGCAGGGTCTCACTCTGCAGTTTAGGCTGGCCTTTAGCTCGTTTTGTAGCCCAGGCTGGTCTTGAACTCACAATGATCCTTTGACTTCAGCCTCTCAAGTGCTGGGATTACTTATAGGTATGTGCCACCATGCCTGGCTCAGTGTTATTTTAATTTGCATCTCTTGAATGACCAGCAAGGTTGAGCATTTTTTCACATAATTATTTGCTGTTTGTATTTCTTCATCTGAGAAGTATATATTTATCTCAGAAGTCCATTTTTGGATTGGGTCTTTAAATCTTGGAGAACTGATTTTTTTTTTTTTAGTTTTTTTTTTAGTTCTTCAATAATAATCCTTTGTCTGAGGCAAACATTTTAGCCCACATTGTGGGTTGTCTCTTCACTCTCTTGGTGGTTTCTCTTGCTGTGTAAAAGCCTTTAAGTAGAGTCCTTGTAATAGTTCCTGTGCAATTGGGGTTTTGTTCATAAAGTTTTTGCCTACACCACTGTCTTCAAGAGCTTTACCTACTCTATCTTCCAGCAGATTTAATGTTTCTGTTTTAATATTAAGGTATTTGATCCATTCTGATTTTAGCTTAGTGCATGGTGACAGATATGGGTCCTGTTTTAATCCTCAGCATGTGTGGAGGCAGTTTTTCCAGCACCATTTATTAAAGAGGCTATCTTTCTTCCAGTGGATGTGTTTAACACCTTGGTCAAAGATAAGGTAGCTTAGACAAGGTGGAGTTGTTTCTGCATCTTCTGATCTGTTTCAGTTGATCTTTGGGTCTGTTTTTGTGCCAGTACCTCACTGTTTTTTTTATCACAGTGGCTTTATAGGATAGTTTCAAGTCAGGGATTGTGATACTCTCTTGTCTTGTCTTTCTTGCCCAGGATCACCCTTGCCATTCTAGGTCTCTTCTGGTTCCAGATTTGAGATATGCTTTTGGAATTTTGATTGGGATTGCATTGAACCTGTATAACAGTTTTGGAAGTATGGCCATTGTCACTATATTGGTTCTTCCTACCCAAGAGCACAGGATATCTCTCCATTTTTTAATATCCTCTTCAATCTCCTTTTTCAGAGTACTGTAATTCTCAAGATAGCAGTCTTTTACATCCTTTGTTAGATTGATACAGATATTTCATTTTTTGGATGCTACTGGGAAAGGTGTTGTTTCTTTCTCTGATTTCTCTCTCAATGAGTTTGTTCATATATTGGAAGGCTATTGATTTTTGAGTGTTGACTCAAATTTGCTTATTAAATCAATCAGTTTTTTAGTGGAGTTTTTGAGGTCTTCTATGTAGACTAACATGTCATCTGCAAATAATGATAGTTTAACTTTTTTTTTTTTTGGTACCAGGGATCAAACTCATGACGTTGCCCTTGCCAGGCAGGTGCTTACAACACCTAAATCCCCGGAGCTAAATCCCCGGCCTGA